ATATAAAAAAGAAATTGGTATATGTGAAGTACCTATTGAATACAGCGGTTTTCTTGTAAAATTTCGAAGTAAGTTTGTGTTATTTTTTCTATCGTGAAAATTTTTAGGAATCGTGTTTTCACACAATATAGAGTCAGTCTTAGAATAATAACGCATAGAATGATAGTTTCATATCAAACGAACTGTCACAAATGAGGCAAAAATCAAATTCATGTAGGCTAGTTTTAGTAGTAGGTTAATTTTCGGTTTTAGTGAATATTTATATAAAAATACAAGTTGAAACGCTTTACTTCCTTGTGGTATGTGATGTTAGTATCTATTTTACGTTTGTCTGACGTATTTTTACACTCATTTACCGCACACTTCGTCATTTTTAGCTAAAATTCTTGATCTGTTCGCGGTGCAAGTTGCCCTTGAGCACTGAAGGCCCGCCCGCTCGTGTAGGCCCATTGGGCGCGCTTCAATTTGCCTCACTTAGCGTGTGCGGACTAGGTTTCTATGCGTTATTATTCTAAGGAGTCAGTATATATCCTCAATTTTACTATATTTTTTTCCGAAGTGATTGATTCAACACTTCACTGTTATGCGGGATCAACCAAAGCCATTTGAGGTTGTATAGATTCTTGAAGATAAATTAATAAACAAACGTGTATTCAATGTTATACAAAATGAATGGAATGTTTCTCTAAATAGGTAACTGATTACGAACTCAATGGCCAAGTTACATAGCATACCATGCTATAGACAACAAAGTACAGTCATTTATGGTATTGTTTATTTACGTGCTTAAAAATAATGTACTTAACGTTGTTTTGTGTTTTTCTAGCTGTCAAGATGCATAGTAAGTACGGTTTCACGTTTAAGACTATTTTAGAGTGGGTCCAAAAAATCTCTATGCGACGAGATACATTTTAACTTACGAATTTTGTTTTAACTTTCACTTCAATGGGTAAATCATTATAATTAATCGTTAAGCATAAATTTTAGTAATAATAATTGGACGTAGTTAAGGATCCAATCCACGACATTATCAAAAAATGATACGTACCAAACGGTACCTAAAGTCTAACCTCTTAAAACAGCAAAAAATCCAACATATAAATAAATATCTCTCGAGTTACATGACATTATGAGTTTTCAAAATAAAGCAAGCGTGAGAAACACTTTTAAACTTCAAACTGCCATATCTCGAAAATGAGTGGATGTGGATCCATTTTGTTTGACTACATCCAATTGTAATGCTAAAGTTTTAAAAATAAGCAAGTTTTAGTAGCAATAGAGCACATTTACTTTACTATTTCTGCTGCCAAGCAGTCAAGTGAGCATTACTGCGTTCCTCTTTTTGAAGGGTAAGTGTGGTGGTGAAATTACAGGCACATGGGACTTGTCAACTTATGTCTCAGGGTGACGGGCGCAGTGGTAGTGCCCCTCAGATCTTTGCGATTTAAAAGTCTTTTAACTTTAAGTGGCACTGCAACTGTTATGGGACAGGCGTGCCTTCCCATTTTTTCTTTTCTATCTTAGTTTGTTATTTTTATTTATACAAAGATGGAACAAACACAAGGAAAAACTCCTTCGATCCGTCTGGACACGAACCCGTGTCTTTTCTTTAACGTGGCTACTTGTGTTTGTTAATATAAATAATGTTACTAATATAGTAAAGAAATCATGATATTCAATCAAATTGAAACATGTTTACATTTCAATACAAACAGTTTGGTGTGGAAACAATTTAGAACTTTAGCAGGTCCACATTTACTCTTGACGATTACAAAGATCACAATTCTTGACACGCGGTTTTTGTTCTGCATGTAGTACGCCTGGCAAGTTCTGCAGAAAGCCTGCCCTGACACAGTTATCTTTTGTTACTTCAGTCATATGAAACTCCATATTGTGAAAATAGATAGCGCTTTAGGACATTCTATGAGTTTTTGTATGGGAGGTTCTAGCGAACGCCATCTCTTGATAACTACGAAACATAGTAATTAAGAAATCAACCATAACATGTACATTTTACGTTCAAAATAAATTCTATCGGTTATTTTTGCCCATATTCTGACGAGTGAAATGAAAAGGAAAATTTTCGTTGTATATAGTTTGAATTTTCAGACAAAATGCTATTTAAGATAATTAATTAAATTGTTTCATAATTAAACACAGTTTTGTGTCAATTTTCAAAAGTTATAATTATTAATACAAAGATCGAACACAAAGAAAAATTCCTTCGATCTGACAGGACCTAAACCTGCATCTGTGCCATATCAGGGCGACCGCTCTACCAATTGTGCTACAGATCAAGTAAACAGACGTTACGAATTTTTCTATGCGTTTTCTTACAGATGCTTGTTTTTAGAATTAACGGTTTTTTGTCGTAGCGCCATCTGTGAGAAATCTACGAAAATTTTTCTTCGCTCAACCAGGTACCGTTACAACTACCAGAGGTTGACAAAAGACGTCGCTTTCTAAATTGTAATATAGTGGAATAAATTCACAAAAAAAAATAATATCATGTTAGTAAAATATCATAATATTCATTACAATCAATATTTTCAAAACTTGTTTAGATTTACGAGTACAATAACTCTTTAGTCACTAAATTGTTATTTATTGTATTCGTAAGTCTAAACAACGTATCAAAGGTATGTACGTACAGTAACGAAAATATACACAAATACACTAAACTTATGTGTGTAGGTGTACCTTTTCGCACATCAACAGCATGGAGTATATAACTAGAAATAGAGAGGAAATGTCATTTAATTTGTTTGAAAACTATTCTGCCATATCATTACTGTGACAATTGCGCTCCGATTGGCTAGCCCGAATTTGAAACCATTGACTGTTGTCGTCAATTGTTTCAAATCAAATCGACCAGTTTAACTCGAGCTTTGCTATAATGGACGAATATTGCAAAATTACGTATTTCATATTTAATTACCGATGAAATGTGATTCCGTTTGTTTTGTAACTAGATGTTTTGCTGTTTTTCCCCACACCACCGAATGGAACAGCTCCCCATTGTTAGAGATGTTATCTTTATTACAATAAATACAGAATATTTTTGGAATATACGGAGACGAACACACAGGTCAGTTGTTGGTGCTTGTATATTTCAGTGCAAACTAGGGTTGATGTCTATAAGTGATGTATCACTGATGAGGTACCAGGAATATATGACCCTTATTTCGTCTCTATTACTGGTTATATACTCGATGACCAGCAGTGATAATAGGCACACTGACCAAATTCCGTGGGATAAGAAATGGGGCCTTAATTCATATAATTTCCCCAGGTTCGATCTGGGCGGCGTTCTCGCGTCGTCTGATGACTCAAGCGCAGCAGCTGCAAACGCTGTGGCGCGGAGAGACTACTGAAGCCGGCGGGCCATCCCCACTCGTCAGAGACTACTTCAACTTGCACAAACTTATCGTGCTTGTCACTGATTCCGGCAAGGTATCGACAATGTTTTTGTACATATTTATATCAAACAGGATATACTATTAGTCTAGTAGCAGTGGAGCACCTTGTGAAAGAGTTCCTCCAGGGTTGTACTGCCACCTTACCTATTTCTACCGCCAAGCAGTAATGTCACCATTACGGTGTTCCGATTTCGAATGGTAATGGTGCTGGTGAAATTACAGGCGCATGGGACTTGTCAACTTATGTTTCAGGGTGACGGACGCAGTGGCAGTGCCCCTCAGATTTTTGCGATTTAAAGCTTTTGAGTGGCACTGCAACTGTTATGGACAGGCGTGTAGCTTACCATCAGGCGCATGAGTTGTTCCTCCCGTCACTTTATATTATAAAAAAAAATTAAAATAAACATTTTCTTCTCACTTCGCGACAAACTTATTTTCTGCCACTGTCACCACACCACAAGTACCAAGACAAATCAAGTTTATAAAACACAAATTATACTTAAAATATGAGCTTCCTTATTGGCAAAACGGCGTGAAAAACTAAGCAAAAACGACCTCTATCTATGTCCCCCGTATACAGACGATTCCGTTTCTCAATCAATCATCATGATAATCGTATCGATCTGTTGCTGCTCCCCTGGCGTCGCACTATCGATTCGTCGTTTCGGTAAGTCTAAAACGACGGATCGTGAAGACGAATCGACCCTTAGCAGTCGACTGTGTGGGTCTTTCAAGATGAGCTCAATCCAACGAAAGCTGTTCGCGCACGAAGCACTTCAAAGCAAATAGTTGCATATTTTATCGGAAAGACTGGACATATTGCCGACCTCACTTCCGGAAGCACAAGTTACTCACGCTTCCCTCAATATATCTTGCTGAGGACATATTTTTAAGGGTTGCGGAATGAAGAATACAGTTTGGTACAAAATGAAGATTTGTAATGCGAAAATTACGTATATGAATATAAAATGTTGCAAATAGTCGACTAGTCAGTAGGGCGCAGCGCACGGAAAAGAGAGCGGAGCCTGAAGGGCCCTTCGGCGTGGACAATATGTATACATGTGAGATTTATACATTTATTCGCAATAACCAAAATTTTTTTAAACGTCGTCAAGACATTCCATTAAAATTTTTATTACGTCACAAAAATAGATTAATGCTTCCAATGTCAAGATTAACTCTATATTCCTCTAGCCCACATGTCTTGACTATAAAAATTTATAATCAACTACCTGATGCACTGAAAATTAAAAAAAAGAACTAAAACGATTATTAATAAGTAAATGCTATTGTGATATTAAAGACTTTTTGAACGAAACTCTTTAACAAAATGTTTTTACATTTACAATTTGCAACAGCTCTTACTCTCTTCCCTTCTATTTTGTTGTGCCCGAAAGGGTCCATGATGTGAGAACTTTCTTTTATATACCTTGTATACCATTGTGGAACACAAATAAAGATATTGTATTGTATATCGAAACCGTACCATTAGAACTACGTATACGGTCGATTCTGAACGGTACGCAACCATTTGTTTGCCTGTTGTCAATGAAGAAATAAGAAAGACCTATCGTCGAAGACGGATCCTGCTTCATCACGACAATGCGAGCTCTCACACATCGGATCAATCATTGAATTAATGAGCACCTAAAACGTCGGTTTGATGGGTCATCTGCCGTATAATTCTGATTTGTTACCCAATAACTTCCTTTTATCCCAGCACATCAAAAAAAAATTCGAGGTCTACCTTTTTTGAAGCCTGAAGATGATGACGCGGTTGACGCATTTAAAACGCATGTTTTGGAGGCACCTCAATTAGAGTGGAAAAAGTGTTACGAAAGTTGGTGTAAATGCATGCATAAGTATTTTGATCTTCACGGGGAATATTTTGAAAAACAAATAAGTGATTTTTGTGATAAATATTTGTTATTGTTCTCTTATCCCGAAATATAAAAGCCAACACTTGTATAATGGGGGTCTTTAGGAGATGCATTAATATAACTTATTTATTTATTTATAAAGCATTGGCTTCAGAGCCATCAGCTTAATGGTAACAATTAATCAAGAAACGCACAACGTAATTAATGTACATAAACTAAAAATTAATTCGTGTAAAAAATGTAACTCCATTAATATAACCTTTTTTTTATGTTTTATTTCCCAGATATTCGGTATAGACAACCTCACAGGGGCGATATTATGGCAGCGCTACGAGCCATCGTTGGATACTGACGGAGTAATAGTTTTCACTAGAAGGACAGCTCGACATCCTCCACTTGACGCTTATCTCACCATTGTGGGGAAAGATATGGTAAGGATCATTTGTTTTAAACTATTTTTTTTTTATTGAATTGATATTCAATTATTTTTATGTGAAATTCCTCCACTAGTTTGTTATAGCTTAGTTGGTATAGCGTCTGGCACGGTATGCTAGAAGACGTCGGTTCGAATCTGGCCGCATCGAAGGTTTTTTTTCTGAGTGTTCGATCTTTGTATTCATAATTATAACATGCACACAGCACACAGCACACATGCACATAACACACAGTGGAGTAATTTCACATAAAAGTAATAGAATATCAATGCAATAAAAATTTAAGTACACTGAATAACGACATCTCTAGCCGGGGCTGGTAGCTGTAAAGGTATCTAACTGGGTGACGAAATATCATAGATTTCTCATAGATGGCGCTACGGCTATAAAGTAATTGAAAAACCAAATACAAAGATACCACGCAAGCACATAGAAAAAATCGTGAGGTCCGCTGGTTCGTCCCGTTGCTAGTAGACGTCACTTCGAATCCGGCCGGATCCAAGGATTTTTTTCTGAGTGTTCGAACTTTGTATTAATAACTTTTTTTTGTCATAATGTATCTAGCCTAGATCTGTCCCAAGCCAAATAGCCTAAGGCCAACGTGTTGACCACTGTTATACGACTTATTTTCTGTGCAATAGAGCTCAAAATCTGTCTATTTCACAATTTAACTAAATTCATAAGGACTTATTAGGTTTTCGCGACTGTGACACATACGAAATGAAACAGTTTTTTCGGTTCTTTATCGCGTATATTTATAACACCAATGTTACGAGCAAAAAAAAAGGTCCCTGGTCACGATTACTGAAAAAATAAATATAACATATTCCTAATTGTAAAAAAAAAACAAAGAACAAGCGTATAGAAACAAATCGTTTGTTGGTTCGTTCCCTAACTCAGTTGAGAGAGCGTAAGGCACGGTATGCTGACGGCTCTGGTACGAATCCAGCCGGATCGAAAGAATTTTTCTTAGTGGTCGATCTTTGTATTAATAATATTCCTGTTGAACAAATTTTTTTTTTTTTTAATTTAATTCAATCGCTGCGTGAACGCACTGACCTGTTTGATTTCGAAATGCTATCACCTGGATATTTGGATGTCTTCTATCCTACAGGCTGTCACATGTTTGTTCTAGGACACTGGCAACGGCCTAATAATAAGTATAAACCCTATTCGAGGCACTTACGTTGGCGAAAGGATTCTGCAATTGGATAGTCAGTTGCTGCAGTGCGCGCTTTTGCATAAACCCGACAATGAGAAATTGCAGGCGCTCATATTGCTATACAAGGACGAGTCTGTACAGGTAAGACCAGTTACACAATGTAATAAACTTTAAATTAATATAACTTGAGACTATCATATAAAAGATTTAGTACGCGTGGTAAACCTAACAAACTAACCTAAAAAATAACGGGTATGCGATAGCATAACTTCAGCAGCAATTTTTTTTTAATTTGTGAGTATGTATTGAGAACTGTGATAGGTACCCCTGTGGCCGAACTTTTGTTTCTTAATCAGAGGTCGACCTTTGACTTGAATTTCTAAGTTAGAAAGAAAAAATTTTTTTTTCTCATTTTCTTATGTGTAATATAAAGTAAACTTTATTTATTACTAACATCCAGTAAGGAGACCATTTTGGATCTCAATGTTTTCAGATCCAAAATGGTCTCCAGTAAACTTTTGCTAGATTGTACATACAAAACAACCCAACGCTGATACGTATATTTAGAAATTAGATATCTGTCGACTTCCGTGGTCGAGTGGCTTGCACACCGATTTTCATGGTGTCGCCATCTCTGAGGTCCCGGGTTCGATCCCCGGCCGGGCCAATGTAACAACTTTTCTAAGTTGTCTCGGGTCTGGGTGTTTGTGGTACCGTCGTTATTTCCGATTTCCATCACCCAAGTACTTTAGTTACGTACTTTGGGATCAGAGCACCGTATGTGATATTGTCTAATTTATTTATTTATTTAGAAATGTTTAATAGCAACACCTCATGCTTAAGAAGGTGATGTTTGCATGTCGAAGAAGTTTCCCGACCCTTGAAGAACGAGTGAAGTTCCACATTGGGCCAGCGTGGCGGACTATGACCTTGACCTTCTCCTTAGAGGAGACCCGTGTCCAGTAGTGGTATAATAGTTTGATGACGTTTTACGTTTTTGTTGTAGGTATTACCAGGTTCCGCAGCGCCACTTGTAGAAAATATGTACATGTACGTAGCTGAGAGGAGTACAGCGAAAGTACAGGGGTACGCACTCAGATACGACGGCAAAGTAAGTGCAATTTTAAACCTGATGTATTAGTAACATTTTTGCTAACTTAGCAATCTGCTTATTGCACGCGTAAACAGAGCTGGGCAGTTGGTCACAACCATTTCACCCGGGTTTTCCCCAAAGCACCGGGTTTTAATCCATTTCTTCCCAAAATCGTGGGCAGAAACAGTGAGTACGGAATTTGGTATAATTCCATACTTATTACAAATTTCGATTAAAAAAGATAACTCACAATTGCACACCTGTGGATTCTCACCACTAATTTGTACGAAAATCGGTTCAAGATCGTATGATCTAACGATTTTTTGTGTCGGTTTATTTCAATGCGATTTTCAAGCAAACCAATTCATTAGAAAGGCAAATCGAATCGGCTAGATCAAAAAGCTATAGCATATTTTAGTTATTGTCTGTTCCAATACATTTTCAACAAAAAGTAAACAAACCTGTTTGGTTAAAATTCTAAAGCAATCACTCAATAAATCGAATAACTAACACTTTCACGTATATTTCGAAGTTTTCGACTTGATATTCCATCATTGTGTAATCGTTATGTAAATTCATTGCATTCACAGGCAGTAATAGCAGAAAAGACGTGGTCGCTAAACCTCGGCGGCGATGACAACTCTGGCCACAGAATAGTAACGGTGGTGGGTAAGCCAGCCAACGAACGAGTTTATTCGCCCGGGCGGGTCCTGGGCGACCGCAGCGTGCTGTACAAATACATCAACCCTAACGTTGTGCTGTTCATCACTGAGGGACCCGACGCGTTGCACAAAGGTAACACTCGCTACTCTTTATCCGTACGAAGAATATAATATATAATTGTCTCAGGTTCTCGTGTCTCATGTGTCAGGGTGACGGGCACAGTGGCAGTGCCCCACAGGTCTTTGCGATTTAAAGCTCTAAGTGGCACTGCAACTGTTATGGACAGGCGTGTAGCTTATCGTCAGGCTCACGACTTGTTCGTTCCGTCACTTGTTGTTGTATAATATAACAAATTATTACTGAAAGAAGAAAATTATATTTACATATTTCTGAATGTGTCATTACTGCATCTAGTACGCTCTGCCGTGTCGTATAATCTGTGTTTGCTTATATTTTGTCTGCCTACAATATTTTTATTGACAACTAATTGTTAGTGCGCTTCTATATTTTTAGTTTGAATTATTTAAGTTTGTCGGTACGGGCACAGGAGTAATGAGAAATAACCCTAAGAATGAATGTATTGTAACAAAGCCATCGTTAACCTGGCCCAGACGTGGTGGTGGCGACGTGCGTGGACGCGGTGTCGGGCGGCGTGGTGGCGGCGCAGGCGCACCGGCGCGCGCGCGCGCTGCCGCTGGCCGTGCACAGCGAGAACTTCCTCGCCTACCTCTACTACAACGACAAGCACCGCCGGACGGAGATCGGTCAGTCATGCTCTTAACATTGGGTTAGCGGACTATAAATTAAAAACATTTAAAAAAATAAATATCAAATTTTAATCAATTATTTATCGGCCATATTGATTTACAATCTCTTGCCATCTTTCGGGTAATTTTAGAATAGTAAAAATTATTGTTTTAAAAAATACAGTTCTAAATGTGTTTAGATGGTCTCTTCTTATAAAAGTCGTGTCCTTTCGAAGAATTGTAAAGACCGAAGTGAAAATCGGAAGGGATTATGCCGGGCGAATACGATGGATAAGGCAACACATTCCAACCTAGCTGCAATAGTTTTTGACGGCTTTGAAAATATGCGTGTGGTTTGACACCTTTACGATTCAAAAATTCTGAACAATTTTCATTAATTATAATGTTAAAACTTTCCCGCCTATTTGTAACGTGCGCTAAAATATTATTATTTAAAAAATGATCACAGACAATGTAACTTTTTAAAAGAAAAAACATCTTTTTTTTGACCAACCCATTAGACTATTCCACTTTTTGACCAACCTATTACAATGCACTTCAAATGTACCCTACCTCTTAAATCTTGTATCTAAAATTCTTGTCGTAAACAATACAATTTACCAACAATTTCTAGGATGAACACACATAAAGCGCTTTTTGTGGTTATCACCTTTGAATAACTGCAACGTGTGTTTGTATTACTCAGCCACGATGGAGCTGTACGAGGGCAAGCACCGCTGGTCCCCCGCGGGGGCCCCGTTTAGTTCGCTGGCCACGGAGCGCGCCCCCAGCGTGGAACGCCTGGCCTACATCGTGCCCGCGCAGCCCACGGCCGCAGCCGCCACCACCACAGAGCGGGCGCTCACCGACAAGCACGTGCTGCGTACGTACTTGACTTTCCCACTCTCCATTTTATTTTTTTCACGCACACACTTATTGTAGCTCCGCACTAGGGAAACCTTGGGCCATGGAGGAACACACACTGTAGCAGTAAAGCTCCTTGTGAAAGAGTTCGTCCTGGGAAGTACTGCCACCTGCGTTCCGGTTTTGAGGGGTTAAGGGTGCTGGTGAAATTACAGGCATGTGGGACTTGTCAACTTATGTCTCAAAGTACGCAAGGGCGCAAAGCCCCTCAGATCTTTGCGATTTAAAGTTCTGAGTGGCACTGCAACTGTTATGAACAGGCGTGTCGCTTACCACCAGGCCCACGACTTGTTCGTCCCGTCACTTTAGTATCATACAAAAAATATAGACAACCACAAATCACACCTAAAGTCACGATGACAGACGACCTAAAAGACCGATTGCCACCAACTTACCTATGATATGGCAAAAAACAAGCTAACATAACCACATTAAAACGCCAAATTAACTATTAGTTATGATTAGTCGCGCAGACAGCAAAATCACATATCGTAAATGTAAAGATAACAATTTTAAAGCGCCACTTTAGGGCGAAAATTAGTCGTTTATTTCTGTCTCGGTTTTATAGCGGTCTCAGATACAAATTCTCCCACTAAGTTACCATCGCTCTTTTAAAAATAATTCACTACCAGTAACTATAAATTTGTATCTAATATTAAAAAGACTGACAAGATGTCTTATTATGTAGCTAGCTCGTAGAAAACTTTCTAATTTCATTTGCCATTAGCAGAGATTATTCGATACTGTTTTTTATTGTATTATAATTGTACAACTCGTGAAAAAGACCTTTTGTATCGACAAAATGGAAATGCTCCCAAGCACAAAATTTTATGTAAAAGAATTTGAACCTTTTGTGCTAGATCCTGTCCGCCATTTTGATATAAGTTAAAATGGCGGTCCTGTCCGCCACTTTGTTACATGTTAAAATGACGGAAAAATGCCATACTATGGAGACTCGTCTCCATATTTAAAAAAAAATTATTTTTTGCAGTGGGTCTGTCAACGGGCGCGATAATAGAAATGCCATGGGTATATCTAGAACCTAGAAGACCAGTAACTCCCACGCCAGACCAGCGAGAAGAAGGACTGATTCCCTACGCGCCTGAACTGCCTCTGCCTTCCGAAGCTGTCATCAACTACAATAGGACGTTATTGAAAATAAAGGCCATCCACACAGCGCCTTCAGGACTCGAGTCTACTTGTTTAGTACTTGCTACTGGATTAGGTAAGTAATCTAAATGAGATATATATATATACTATCCACAACTGTGCTGCCATCAGCAAACGCATAGGTACCTGGAATCAACATATCACTGATATGCCGCAGAAAGAACGTTGCAGACAGTACGGAATGGATTAGGTAATACAAAATTTATGCAACCAAAAAATTTCTTAGTATGTTAACTAAAAATACTACATATTGAATATTAATAACGTAAATAAAAATGTATACGAATAAAAAAAATAGCGTATACATAGCGTAGGCATTTGAAATTTCATACGCAGAGGCATTTTTTCCCCTAAATCTTGAACTTCACATTATATTAGTTAAATAGTGACAGCCATATTTTTTTATATCACAGCAACACATAAATTATTGGAATTAGTGGAGGCGATTCTGCAGTCTTGAACACCGCCGTAAAGTTGCCTGCTTATCGGTATTTTACAGAATATATCGCGGAGAGTGTACGATGGAATTACACAATTTAATTCCGCCTTCCCCTTTCCATCACCGGGGGACCAGACATAGGCTTGGGTTCCACCCCTATGTTGTGGATACTCCAAAGGTTCGCACGAAGATTTATGTTTCCACATTTATACGGCGAACTGCTATGGAGTGGAATTCCCTGCCTGCAGACTTGTTCCCTGAACGTTATAACTTGGGCATTTTCAAGGCAAGAGTGAATAGGCATTATTTAGGTGTGTGTGCTCCATCGTCGACCTCATCGTCACTTTCCATTAGGTGACATGGAGGTCAAATGCGCACTAATAATTTATAAAAAAAAACGTTGATTTATACGTTTTCCACACATTATTTAATTTTAAAATTAGGACATACACATATTTTATTACTTATATTATTTTATTACATAGGAATAAACATATTTTATTTTACTTGACGTTTCGGACGTGTTGCAACGTATGGACGGTCTCGAAGGGACTGGACGACACCATAAACGCTGCAACATGTCTGAAATATCTAGGCAAATAAATTACGTCTATACAGGATAAAGTTCCGATTTTAAAATCAAATAACACATAAACATTAATACAAAGATTGAAAATTTAGAAAAAATTCAACGATCTTCAACTCTTACATACAAAGATTCGTAAGGTCCGCTAGATCGTTCCGTGGTTTAGTTGGCATAGTGTCTGGCACGGTTTGCGGGAAGACGTTGGTTCGAATCCACCCGGATCGAAGGAATTTTTTCTAAGTTTCGATCTTTGTATTAATAATTGCTAGTAGAGTAATTTCATAAAATAATTGAATATCGTGGTGGTCAAACGTCGTGACATTCAATATTTGAAAATACATAAATAATTTGAAGTCATTGAATCGACACCATATCAACGCTTATAAACAACCATCGAGTATATAAGCAGAAATGAGACGAAATAAGGGCCATGCATTCGTGGTAACTCATCAGTGATACATCACTTATAAATATCAACTCTCGTTTGCACTGAAATAGTACAACGCCAACAACTGACCTGTGTGTATGTCTCCGTATATTCCAAAAAATATATATTTATTGTAATAATGATAATATCTCTAACAATGACAGGCTGTTCCATTCGGTGGTGTGGGGAAAATCAGCAAAACATCTAATTACAAAGCAAACGTTATCAAATTTCATCGGTAATTAAATATGAAATATGGATTTTTTTCAATTTTCGTCCATTATAGCAAAGCTCAAGTTACCTGGTCGATTTGAAGTGAAACAGTTGACGACAACAGTCAATTGTTTCGAATTCAGACTGGCCAATCGGAGCGCAGTTGTCACAGTAATGATATGGCAGAATCGTTTTCAAATAAATTAAATGACATTTCGTCTCTATTTCTGTTTATATACTCGATGTAAACAACTAAAACTCTCTTTTGTTTTAGATCTTTTCTACACGCGAGTAGCGCCATCGAAAACCTTCGATCTCTTAAAAGACGACTTCGACTACTCCCTCATATCAATAGTGCTGACGGCGTTAATAGTGGCCACGTACAGCACCAAGTACTTCGCGTCCAGGAAAATGCTCAAACTCGCGTGGAAGTGATGCCTGATCTGTATATATTAGGACTGTACTCGGGTAAGTACCTTTATAAGGGATGTTGCAAAGCGAGAAGAAAAAATATATCAGGCAAACGCTGACAATGACAACGTTCATGTAAAAAAAATCGCCACCATTGTAAATGTGCCTGATAACCATACTGGAAAGGAAATGCATAAGTATTTTTGTTTTTTAAGTAAATGGACTTGCTTTTGATCGCTACTCAATCCGAGATAGGGTCTACGATGGTACGAGGTCGCCCAAAAGATACTCGGGTTATATGTGCTCGAAAACAGTCGCAGGCAGAGAATTCCGTTCCTGGGCAGCGAATAATGGATGAAAAAGCACGTAATATGCCTCCATGGGAAAGGAATGTGGTAGTAGGGAGTGTAGAACGATATATAGCGCGGAATTTCTGCGCAAGAATAACAGTATCTCGCGTTTTATGTCGTTCGCACCCTGCCGTGCTAGCCTTTCTGGTCTATCAGGAATACATTCCAAATGATAAAAACCGATTTCATAATATTTATATAGTAGCAATAGAGCTCCATGTGAAAGAGTTCGTCCAGGGTAGTACTGCCACCTATTTCTGCCACCAAGCAGTAATGTCAGCATTATTGTGTTCCAGTTTTGAAGGGTAAGTAAGGGTGCTGATGAAATTACAGGCACATGGGACTTGTCAACTTTTGTCTCAGGGTGACAGACGCAGTGGCAGTGCCCTTCAGATCTTTGCGATTTAAAGCTCTGAGTGGCACTGCAACTGTTATGGACAGGCGTGCAGCTTAACATCAGGTGCACGAATTGTTCGTCCCGTCACTTGATTTTATAAAAAAAAAATTAAAATAAACATTTTCTTCTCACTTCGCGACAAACTTATTTTCTGCCACTGTCACCATCTCGCTAAGGAGCTAAGAACTAAGTCTAGAAGATATCTATGTAAAAGAACCCGGTTATAATTATATAAGACACTTGTAAAATAGTCCCCATTTTATAACACGGGATTAAGGATAGCTCGAGGTTTTAGGAATAAGGAACATTTGTAGTATTTATGTAGATATATATATATATGGTGATGGATCTATATGGTTACTGTATGTACAAGGGCGTCTGAATTGGGATTGAGTGTCTGTGCCCGTGTGTCACCGTAGAGTGGTTTTCACAAATTAAAGAAACGTCCAGTTAACATTAACACGCGTTTACTTCCGCGCCGGGCAATAAATGCGGGTCCTGTCTTGTTGGTAGTTGCTTTGATTTGTTAACATAACCAGAAACGTGAACCACAGTCACAAATAGCTAGAATTTCGGGTCTGATAAATTACTGCCATAGTGTACAGTCCTAATTCCAAAACTAACGAAATGGACTTAGAAAAATTAATGGAATAATATATATGAAATAGTATCGTGCGTTAGTGAGTGTTATTATAATTGTAATTTCGTCTCGAGTAACTGATAAAATCCGCCGCTCAACGACAGAAGAACAGTAGTATAAAAGCGGCAAAATATTCAGTGACTAAAGACAACTTATGTAAATAAAACTTAAACTCATAAGAGCAAAGTTCACAATTGCAAAATATTTTCTCTGCTAAAGCTATGCATCAGTGCGGCTAGCACGTAAGACGCTACTTGCGCGAAAGTGAAATAAAGCGCGACACACTATTATTATCGCATAGAGAATGCAATATCTCGCGCCTTATGTCGCTCTCGCGCAAGTCGCGTACTGTCATGCTAGCCCTACAGGTTAGTTACAATATTGCTACTACCTTAGAATAATAACGCATAGAATGATAGTTTCATATCAAACGAACTGTCACAAGTGAGGCAAAAATCTAATTCATGTAGGCTAGTTTTAGTAGTAGGTTAATTTTCGGTTTTAGTGAATATTTATATAAAAATACAAGTTGAAACGCGTTACTTCCTTGTGGAATGTGATGTTAGTATCTATTTTATGTTTGTCTGACGTATTTTTACACTCATTTACAGCACATTTCGTCATTTTTAGCTAAAATTCTTGATCTGTTCGCGGTGCAAGTTGACCTTGAGCACTGAAGGCCCGCCCGCTCGTGTAGGCCCTTTAGCCGCGCTTCAATTTGCTTCAGTTAGCGTGTGCGGACTAGGTTTCTATGCGTTATTATTCTAAGGCTACTACTTATAATTTCCAAAAGAACTACTAAATCAGTAAGTCGCAGTCCTAAAACTTTGCCATTATGATTTAAATAGTAACTATAAATACACATATAAGTAAGGAAATGGGAAACGATTATGATCAATTAAATGATCAAATTCATTAAAAAAATCTTAGTAAGGACTGAGTGCATATATTTAATGATTTGTAATTCATACCTTACCGAGATCTTGTATCCAGCATGTGAGGAATGTGGTCTTTTACTCGGTAGAATATGGTCTATGAATGAAAACCCTTAACACCTTTATTTGGTCACTTATACTCCGGATTGTTTAGAATAACAAATTACTGTAAACAAACAAACAGTGACGGTTAACTTTCAGATTTACCATCACTGCTTCTGGACCATAAAGTTCATTACACTATGCATTACGCTACGCATGCAATATCGTTACAAAATTCGCTTTCATTCCGTTCCGCCGCAATACAAATTGTGCCTTACGGTTTTTATTAAATTGCTTTGCTTAACAACATGACTGAATAAAAGACCAAAAATGTTCTTCTGTCTAATGCTAAAAAAACAAAGTTAGCCATTTTATTGTACAAAGTTTTGATGGGAAGGGCTTGAGCCGGTTAGAAAATATCTTCACATCCGTGCAATAAAGCTTTTCTGACAAGTACGGTGGCTTCCTAATTCTACTCATTTATACGTGCAATCTTTACCATGGAGAATAATTTCAAATCACGAGTAAATCTACCCAGCTATGATAATCTAAAATAACCTTATTTGTAACCCGGTTTAAGGGTGGGGTCCCAGCAAACGCTGTTCGTATGGATGAGTAGAATCACCTCCAAAAATATGCCAAATAGTTCATTTCAAACTGAACCTTAGTTATTCATTTTAAATGTGTATTTACGAAAAGTGATAAAATATCATGCTTTATGCCATCGCTGGTATCTGGAGTATAACGACACAAGGCTACACGTCCTCATTGAATGTTGGATACGTCATTGTAATAAAATTTAGCTAGTGCAATTTAGGCATAACTATTTATTAAGAGTGGTTTGTGTATTATATCGAATTTTTAATAAATTAAAAGCCATTCCAAATGCGTCACCTTTTATTATGCTAAAACGCATTCAAAAATTTGCTATTTTTTATTATTTCTTTCGTCGACAAATTGGTTTAAAGTAATGTAGTGTTTGGTTGTTAAATTTTAAATGTGGGAAACAGTCCATATAAAGTTCCACTACTGGAGTAACAGGTTATTCATTATATCGGTTAATACTTATACTCTCCGTTAAGGCGCAACAAGATTTTAGCTGCCAAAAACGCTGTCGTAGTTGCCACCAAGTAGAGGCTAAACAAATAAAGCGAAAAATAATTACATCAGTTGCTTTGATATACTGTCTGTCGGGCCAGTGGTGACATTTACGTCACAGTCTCTATTTATATATAAAACCGACCTCAAAAGTTTGTGGAATTACATCTATTTACCAAGTTTTGTTGAAATCGGTTAACGGAAATTTAGTGAAATCCAATCAACGAGATTTATGTCCTAATTAGCCACTCCTACAGATGAAATATTTTCTTCAAATTTGAATGGGACCACTATTGAGGTACAAAAAAAATAATCATCGAAATCGGTTCACGAATGTCAGTCTAAAAAATAATAATACAGTCCAATAGATAACATTTTCCTTTTTTGAAATCGGTTATAAAATAAAAACTGTTTTTTTGCAAGACTATGACATTGGAATAAACGTTATTGTTAGTTATAAATATTTAATATTCTGCCCGTGGGAAATATCCTACTTGTTAAAGTTAATTACATATAAATTGGGTTCATTGTATACTATATACTACGATTTTGTATTAAAATTTAAAATATCATCGAGCCATGTACTGTGGCAATTTCTTTTTTAATTTTCTGTCATGGATTTCTACACGAATAATAACAAATATGTCAACTTCAAGGGATAGTTTTTGAGTGCCACCTGCTATTAGGCTTTTACCAGTCGGCCCTTAGAGGAAGGAAAACAGTCGGCCCCATTCCTATACCAATTACATTTACATTTAAAATATACAACAAGTTGTAGAAAACTAAGTTAATGTTGCTCACTGTTCTCTACTTTGTCAAAGCAAATCTAGAGACAGCAAGTTGCTTTTGGGAGCATTTAAGTTCATGGAGTTTGTACAATTGGGCGATAGATTATTAAGGTGACAACTATGTATTTATAAGCATGTTATTTTTTAGTTTACGCGGAAAGTTGCATTTTTTATTTAGATAACATTTTATTCCTTTGTCGAATAGTTAATTACTTCCAGAACGTTATCAAACAACAGTTAGAAGCAATTAAAAGTTTCACATTGCGGGTTGCATGCAAATATAACAGCACTTCAGTAATTTTTAGATCACTAATTGTGACTGCACCAGTGGCGCTGAAACTGCGTTTCTAAATATTGTATGAAAGTTAAGCCAGGTTTGCACTATACGAGTACGCTCGAACCGAGTCCACACTCGTAACGTCTAAACACGTGGCCAGAGCGCACTCGAACGTCAGCGAATCCGATCAGAGTGGACTCGGACGCGGTTTTATTCTTACGAGTATACTCGGATCATTTTATGAAAACAAAATGGCGCCACCTAAGAAAATAAAACCTAATGGTTTTAAACGTGTTGTCTCTTCCACTTTACGAATAAATTTATTTTAAAGCCCTTAATTAGTCACGTCTTAAAATCCATTTTCTGGTCTAAATGTTTCACTTGCTTTTCCCTGTCATGAGTTTGTACTTTGGCCTTGTATAGCTTTCAACTCGTATGCCTCGAAGCAGCATATCAGTCTTCGTCATTTTGATTGTTCAAAGAAACAAATGCTACTCGGATGCTGATGAGCCTGTAAAGTGTAAACCGAAATCCGAGTGGTTTCCTATACGATCAGACTCGTACAAGAGCACTCGCTACGAAAGCACTCGTATTGTGAAAACTCGGCTTTAGTAGTGGCGCGGCAGCAGCGTCACAGTGATGCCAATGTAGTGCTTCTATAAGCGTCTAATGTTTAGGCGCCCTGTGAGTCAATGGGTGTCGTTGACCCTTAGCCCTAATATTATTGATCTTATATTGTTTTGTAGACATAACGACGTATAAATTAACAATTGTATCAGGTGATATTTAATCTTGTTTCACCAGAGTAAACTCAATAATTAGCTCACAGAAATGTTAAATTAGCTCTTAAGGTTAAACTCTCGAGCGCTTTTATTTAAACATTAACGTGATTTTGTTATTCTACTCGATTTTTCGATTAGTATAATCAAATAAGAGCAGTTCTACAATGATTCTTTTGTATGGTCAAGTTGCAGCGAAGTAGTGTGAAACATAATATTGTAATGCCATTACAGTTTTTATTATATAGTTTTTCTATGTATTAGTTATTGGGTAAGAGTCAGGTTACCAATTGTATTTAGTTAAGTTTAAGTTGACATGTCGTAAAAATGTTTTGTTATTACGGGAGAATAACATTTTTTACAGGATTTGTAACTTCACTGCCATAAGACTGGCCGTTATTGAAAGTGGAGGATCAGCGCAAAAGTGGTTGTGACGTTGCCGGTTAGTCGATACGCGCCAATCAACAGAGGGTTGGACTTATGGCAGTCTAGTTATAACTTTAGTATATTAGCTGAAATATACGTTGTTTATATTATTTTAAGAAACCTGTTCAGTTAAATTGATCCTTATTGCTGTATACAGTTTTCAAGTTGAGTTGCATCTTGTACTAAGTATTTTAATTGCATCTTGCTTGTTACGTATGGTTGATGTTAATATAAAAATGGAATATTTGTTCGTGCAACTGTGTTTTTACAAAAATAAAATGAAGTAAATACATACTGCTATTTTTTGTTTTAATTTGAACACCTATATCCAAAATAAGGGAAAATATGACCGCACCGTTTCGTTACTTGGGATATTTTACACATGCGAGAAATAAATCAACATTAATATATAAAAACATTCATTATTTTATGCTAAAAACATTTTTAAGAGCGATAACACGCGACGCCTGAGCTGTGCCGCTGCGTTATGCTACATGTAAATAGAAGTACATGCCACATGGTGCGTTGAAAAGACGCGTGTCGGACAAGGGGCCAGGAGACGAAGCGGAGAGGGAGCTTATAATGTGTAAGTAAGCGGCGTTACGTTACCACTACGGTTGGATAATTTTCCGAAAAATTTCAAATAGTGGACATTTTTCGAGAAAATCTGGAAAATTGGAAAAATATCGTTTCGAAGGATCATAAGTTCTACGTTCAGAAATATATTTTTAAGTTTTATTTAGCGTGAATGATTAAATAAATTTGTACAAATAAAAGCTACAGCTACTAAAACCAGTTTAATGGCGCCATCGTTTTCGTTCAGTCACTTCAACTTTTGTCAACGTCAAATGTAGAAAGTTAGAGGAAATATATGATTTTTTCAAAATGGAAATTCTTTCATACCCCAACACTAGTTGCGACCATTATATACTAAATCTATGGTTGCGACACCGCATTGCTCGTAAGGCACTCGCTGGTTGAAATCATAGCGTTGCGACGACGCAACGTACTGGCAGCGTTTGAGTGCCATCACTATTTCTCGTTATTTTTTTTTTATAACATCAAGTGACGGGACGAACAAGTCGTTTGTCTAATGGTAAGCTACACGCCTGTCCATAACAGTTACAGTGCCACTCAGAGCTTTAAATTGCAAAGATCTGAGGGGTACTACCACTGCGCCCGTCACCATGAGACATAAGATGACAAGTCCCATGTGCCTGTAATTTCGCCAGCACCCTTACCCTTCAAAACCGGAACACAGTAATGCCGACATTACTGCTTGGCGGCAGAAATAGGTAAGGTGGCAGTGCTTCCCTGGACGAACTCTCACAAGGAGCTCTACTGCTACTAAATTCGCCATTCCGTACATAAAGGTACTAATTTGGGACATTGTGCATCTATACTTTACAAAACGTCAACGTCACTGATAATGCTGTGTCAGTCGCTGAGTACTGGTCCTCACAAATATAAACTTCAGAGTTGACACGCTAAGAAGACGACTTTACGAAATTGTTTGACGACTGAGACTCCTGCTTTCACTTTGAAGAGAAAAATGTACCACTCACTTGTACACACATCTCATATGATGAGTAAACTTTATTAATCCTTGTACGTCCCACTGCTGGACATAGGTCTCCCTAAGGTCTGCCGCTGGTTGGATCCTCGATAATAGTGACATAAATAAATTCATAAAAAATCATAATAAAAAAAACAAGAATAACAAAACACATTTAAATAAATAACGTACGAAATAAAAGTAATTTATTTTTTGCTTAGAGGATGGAAAAAAATTAAGATTTTTTGTCACATTAAATTTAAATGATATTTGACACTAGTCAATTAGCATTTTTGGATGGTGTCACATTTTTTAAAATTTATTTTGTCATTGGTACTTATTCCAAAAATTTTACTTCTTGAATTCGTCACCATATCATTGAAAGTGCGTCATGTCTCCAAATAACACTGAAACTTCTTGAAGGTAACTTTTTGTGGTGGCCAAAATATTTAGAGAACACGGAATAACTATTAAATCAATATGAAGATGAATAATTGCAATTTATTTTGTCAGTCCTTATCCCAAAAATTTTATTTCTCGAATTCGTCATTTTGTCACTGTGACGACGACGTTCGACGTCGTTTGTGGAAACGACGCACTCACGCGTCGTCTCCAAATAACACTGAACCTTCTCGAAGGTAACTTTTTGTGGTGGCCAAAATATTTAGAGGACATGGAATAACTATAAAATCAATATAAAGATCAATAATTGCAATTTATTTTGTTAGTACTTATTCCAAAAATTTTACTTCAGGAATTCGTCACTATCATTGAGAGTGCGTCATGTCTCCAAATAACACTGAATAACTATCGAATCAATAATTGGAGTAACATTTATTCACTGTGTACTAATATTAAATATCAACTTAATATTACTTTCATAATCTTTATCAGCAGGTTCATAAGGAGTTCCAATGACAGGTTCGAGCTTTATAAGCTTGGTGGCACGCGGTGGAGGCTCCAAGACGTTGCTATTGTTGCACAGAGTCCTGAGGTAGTCCCAAGTCGCCCCGCGGTCGTAGTTTAGAAGAGTTTGGAAGAATTTTACTGCTAACGCCTGAAATAAAAGGATTTTTTGAAATTATGAAAATAATGCATTGAACTCATTGACTTACAATTATATGGACGTCGGGTCCGCGCTAA